TTTCCCCACCTTGGCTTTTCCTCATACTGCTAACCCAGCTGACATTTTCCAAACTTTGGTCAACTTACAATTGGCTGCAAGTTGGCAAAATTTCACGAAAAAAGACCTAAAGTTTTTCTTTTCCGTTTTTTCTATCAGCTAAACTGGAATAGTTTTTTTCCTGCTCCTCTGGACCGTGGCATCGATTGATTTCTGGGCAAATGATTTGCCGAACACAAAAACTACGAGCCGTACGCCGTATAGGAATGCCCCAACACAACGGACTGAATGGACATGGGTGTTTGTTGGGGGAGGAGGGGAGGTCGTGTGTCCCATGGCCGTGTCCGTAACCTTATCCATGTATCCAAGCACCCACCATCTGGACCAAGTGCTTTAGAAGGTTTCGCTAGCGCCGTACAGCAGATTGTCCAGTTTTAATTTGTTGATGTGGTCGCCGCGGGCCCCATGTCCTGGTCGTCCCCAAAACGTTTCGAAGGTGTCGAAATGCTGATTGCACAGGTCCCGGTCCAGTTGCTTCGAGACGGAAACGGAGCGTCGGTTCTGCGATATTTGGACATTCAAGTCGTGGAGATAGCGCATATCGGCGGCCGTTTGAATCCTGCATCGAATTGCATGTGGAAGATGATGTTCATGGGTTGGTGGGCAGCAATTTTGGTTGGTTGGTTGGTTGGTTGTTGGTTTATTAAGTCATTTCATTTTTTAACGTTTGGTTTGGTTTGGTTTTCAGGGTTTTTGGAATTGTAAACGATTTTCGGTTTGGTTCGGTTTGGTTCGTTTTGCACGGGGATACATAGAAGATTGGTATTATGATTTGGTTTTTGTTGGTTTGGTTTAGTTTTGGTTTTTTGGTGAGATTGGGTTTGCTCTTTTGGTTGCTATACTTTCACTTGGATTACAATGGATATTTTCTTTTTGCTGAATGAGCCGAGAAGAAGTGGGGGTAGAAAAACCATTAACAATGCAAAATGATAGGCTTAAGAGACGAGGGGTCGGGTAAGTGGAAAGCGGACTGTTTTGCTATCTTTGTTTTTCAATATGGCGCAGAGCAAGCAAATGAGAAACGGAAATGAAAATGTGGGGGGTGCTATGCTAGGGGGAATGGGGCTGGACAGAGACAAATGCCTAACGAATGTGCAATGTAAGCCGTTTGAGGCAGCAGCCCGTGGCCGTGGCTGTGGGGCAATCGCAGCTGCAACATTGCAGCTTGCAGCTCAAATTCTTGGGCAGCCGCTTCATGAGGCCGATGTTCTTGATGATGCTGTTGATGCACTTGATCTGGGTCGGTTGACTGTTCTTGGGCTTGTGCTTGGATGCGTACCTATCATGCGAGGGAGTCCTCTTGGTCACATCCGTGCTGGACAGGCTGATCGGCCGGTGCATGCCACGTCTGCGCGCCAACAGTGGAACCAGCTCCACGCCACCGCCCTCGCCACAATCGTTGCCGCCATTGGTGGCGCTGGCATTGGGCGTGGCTGTGCTGGTGCTCCCCGGACACGGTCCGCGAGCCATGCGTGGACACAGCCTGATGGGCTTGCAGTCCTCTGGCTTCAGGTGGTGCACCATCTTGGGTGGGGCAGGCGGCAGCGCCTTCTTACCTTGCGGCGGTGGCTTCGGCGGGCTGTTCATGGCGGGGCAGGTGCAGGTGCAGAGCTCACAGCACCGCTGCGGCTTCGGCGGTTTGTTGGGCCTCGATTTGCGGAATGTGTTTTTCTCCGCCGGAGTCACAGGATTGTCCTGATCAAGTTCCTTCAGCATTTCCTTGTTTGTCCAGCCCTGCAAGAAAGGGACTTGTAACCCAAAAGCTAAGATTGGCATCGTGGATTCCTTACCAGCGATTTCATGAATGTATTTCCCACTTCTTTGGGACTGCGCCAGGGCTTGCCTCCAGGCCCTGGCCTGCCCCACGGCTCCTTGCAGGGCTAAAACAAGAAGAAAACCATACAGAGTTAGTAAGGCCATGCCTCTGGAAGCGTAATAAATGCCGCTCACCGGCTTTTCCAGCTTCGCCTGAAGGCGCTTCTTCTGCGAGGCAAGCTTCTCCTGGAGCGGACACCGCTGGTCGCTCTCGCTGACGACGATCTTCTCGAGCAGCGGCTTACCCTTGCAGGGCGGCGAGGGCTTGTACCGCAGCTCGATATCCACGTGTCCTTTATTGCGAAACGACATTGAGGGATGCTCTTTCAGCTGGATGTGCAGACTCTCACCATTCGCATTCTTGGCCAGGCCGACGCCCACTCCAGCGCCGTGCTTGTGCGGTATCTCCCGCTCACAGATTGTCACGGTGCTGCTCCGGGGTCCGCTCTCCTGTAGATGGTGTATGGAATGGGCATGGCCCAGGCGACCCCCTGGCGGAGGCGGCGGCGGATGGTGATGATGATGCTGATGATAGGCAGCCAGCGGATTGTTCTGGCACTTTTTCTGCACAGAAAAGTACTCATTGTAGCGACACGGCTGCAGGGAGTTCATCCGGTGGGCAGTGGTCTGAGGAATGCACTTTTCGATTGGGTGGGAGCTTTGGGAATCAGCTGAAGAGGGACTACTTACCACGGTTGGTGTGGAATGAAGACCAACGGCTGTGATATCCTTGCGGCGTACTTCTATATTGGGAGCTCCTCCACCAGGCCTCCCCCAAGGACAATGCTGTAGGAAGAGGTCGTAGTACTGAAAGCAGGCAGGTGTCGTTCGAGAGATATTAATTGCACACAACATTATGTATAATTGTCTGTCTAATTCCCCTTAATCCGCATATAATATACGTATTATGGTATGATGTATTCAGTATTCCCAAATCCGTACTTAATGCATAACGAGTGCCAATTAAATAAATTCCCTAGTACGTAATGTATTCCAGTGTTCAGCCATTCAGACACTGATTACAAAACCGAGTTATGCTCTATCGATTTGTTGGCAGCCTATTTACGGGTCCCAGACTCGACGCGACGTGACCTGCCTCCTCGCCCATCTCAGTGTGTCACTCTTCCCCGAGTGTTCCGCTGTTTGTTTACGGAAATTGGCCATTCCCCCGCGCCCTGTCGCCAGGCCCGACAACTACTTTGTTTGTAGGTTGTTGTTATAGTTGCAACGCCTCGCGATTTGCATTTTCACTGATTTTTTTCACCCACATTTCGGCTCGGTTCTGGGCTTTGCACAGCTGCACACTGTGATATTTCTGAAGAATCAGACAGGAATTCAGTCACGCAAGGCAAGGTACGTACCCAAGCTGTTTCTGGTTGGGCATTCGTCTGACGAAATGATTTGATTACTAAAGTCAAAATTGTCAAAGGGTTTGTTGAACCACATCCACGAAAAACTGATGTATTACATGTTGCTTGGGGCAGGTCTTTGAACTCCGTTCAATTCGCTAAAATCGCGTGGGTGTAAGCTCAAGAAGTTTTCTTTGGTTGTCGTAGGTTCGTTCTCGAAGTTCTTGGGCAAAGTTTTATTCAAGTTTTCTTCCAGAAGTCTCTGGGAAATTTTTGGCATATTTCATTAATGAGTTCTTTGCTTTGGCATACCATCCACTGAACAACACAAAATAATATGTTTAAAATTTGGTTTGGGACTTCTCATGATGGAATCATATAAGGTATGCCACACTGTAAACTTTAAACATTGATCCACTCTCTCTATTCGCTGAAATCCAGAACATATTTCAACCGTCTAAACATTTCACATACGCACTGTGTGCCACCGTTTTTATTTCTGTTCGGCTACCCACCTCCTGTTTGTCCTTTTCCTTGCGAGCACATTCCTCCGCTTTTCGGCGTCGCCACATGCGTAGGCTCTCCTCCGCATTTTTGCGCTCCACGAGACGCTTCTTCTCGTCACACCACATCAGGGGATGTTGGATGTGGTCGTGGCAGAAGTTACCCCCCATGCCCATCTCATCGCTGGTCGTCATTGTGTCTGTGCTGCTTCCAGTCCTTGGTTTCCTTTGGGATCGTTCTACTGAGAGCTGGGAGAACGGAAGTAGCGCTGCGTTCAGCAAATGCCGCGTTACTGAAACAGTCTCGTGCTCAACTCAAACCGTTTAACCGCCGAATTGGCTGCACTGATCCGTGCCAGGCACTGCTGGGACACGACGGAGTACGGCTGGGCCTCCAATCCGGTTGTCTAGGCAGCGTGCCTGACTATTTATAGCCTAGGTTAAGGCATACTTGGGCCGCACGTGAGCGTCGGGCGACTGTCCTTGAAGTTTTTCTTGCTGTTTGTCAAGTCGTCTAAGGGTGGGTCAGGGCAGGGTCGGGATGGCCATCCCCTTTTTGCGTAACCACTGCTAATTTCGTTGGCCATTTAAATATTTTGCCAGTTAGGCACGCTTCAACCTGGCTTTCTGTTTGCTTGCTCTGGTTCCTTGGGCGTGTTTGCCTGTCTGGTAGCGTAACGAGGCTTGGACGTAAAATATATTTACTTTATATTGCGCAAAAATTGTGCCACGGCTGCCTTAAATTAACCCAATTTCCTTAAGCTTTTTTCTATAAAAGCGAAAAGTTCGTAGAGTCATCAATATATATAAGATAAAAGGCTTCCTATTCAGGTTAAAGCTGCTGCAGCATTGCGTGCAAATTAATCCGAAACTTGTTGATATTTTAAACTGAAATGCAGCTCCATATCGCATTGCTCAAAGGCCCCAATGTGTCGGCTACAGTTTCCTTCTTGTGGCAGCACAAACACATTTATTTGTTTGCCCCAATTCCGATATCAGGCAGCACCAGCAGTCCCTGCCCGTCGCAACATAAAGCACTTTGGGCTATGTCCAAAACTATTTCACTAGGTCGTCATGGCCGTTGTTTTTGTTGCCACAGTCGACTCGTTGGCCAATATGTTGCATAGTTACAGTGTTGCAGGATGCCTTTGGGGCATGTATAAATGTGTAATGATTCTTTGATAGCATAGTATCTTGGTGTGAAAAACAATCAGCAATTTAAGCTTTAATACTCTTTTATAGGGTATTGTAGAGATGTCCCCTCATAAATTGTTTTCCCAAATGTTTTACAAAATCGAATTTTTATTCATCTCATTAGGTATACAAATATCGTAATTTTAGTTATCAATATCAACAACATTTCCATCGTTTCAGTGTTCACACTCCATAACCTGTGGGGGCCAAATCGTGTCTTCAGCACCCATTTTTAATTGATTTCTACTCAAGATTTGGTTTTAGTTTGTTCTCTCTTTTTACCTCAGTGTAGCAGGCTGTAAAGGAGCCCTAAACCATTTAATAATTTCTATCAAAAACCAAAAAAAAACAAAAGTTGCTGACTGACTTAATTGAGGTTTAGCTGCATAAATTAAAATAAAAACTTAAATTATATTATATAGAAGTGTTTTCTCTTTTCGTATGGGATTCTGTAGATATTTTGTTGTTGTCCGATTTTGTTTGAGTCTCTTATTAATTATTATTGCAGAAAATAAGATTTTATTAAAATTAAGACTGGGCACTGGGCGTTGTTTTCTCATATAATCCACTCTTAGGGGAGGGATTTTCTTTATATGTACAACAACAGATTGTATATGTGCATTTCATGCGCGAATGGTTCAAAAATTCAATTTAATTCCATTAAATTAAATAAAGACTTTAAATAAGATATTTTTGTGCTGTCCGAAAGAGGGAGGGGGATTCTGAAGAGTGCAGGCAATGACCATTGAACCATTTAGGCATGAAATGCCTTAAACAATTATTAAGCATAAATAAAACATTAGTTTTGTGTGTATTATTTAGGGCTGTCTTTGTTTTATAAATATCGTTTTGCACTCTGCTTTCTTTGTTGCATTGACTAAATATGATTTTTTTTTTCTAACTTAGAAATAACTCAACCGGAAGGAAAGTTCCCTCAAAAGCTGTAGCTAAATCTTGTTTTCGATTCCTTTTAGGCTTGATTCATTTCCGTTTTAGAAGAAAGATTTGTACAATTGTCTTGTTGGCTTTACACACACATATAGTATTTCGTATAGATATATTCTCTCAAAAACATTGCATATAAAATTTCTTGAAAAATTCAATGAACATCTATCGTTTTTATGTACAGCAAACGTGGCCGTTTATTTCGGTTTCTTTTTGTTTGTTTTTATGCAATTATTTACAGTGTCAACAACAGATGCCTAAAAACTAAATAATAAATCATCTTTACAATTTGCCGTTATTCGTTTATGTGCCGACAAAAACCTAATCCAAACCTCAATCGTGTGTCAATCGGCCCGCTCTTAGCCTACATATTATTGTTATTCCATTATATTATATTTAAATTGTAGTTCTGATTCATTATGCTCTACTTCATGCGGTTGATGACTAGGTCGGCCACGACCTGTAGGCCCTTCTGGTAGGGCGACTCCGTCAGTTCCTGGGCCAGCCGTATCGCCTCGTTGCAGTGCTTCTTGGCCAGGAAGCGGGTCTGCTCCAGTCCGTGCGACTTGTGCACCAGCTCAAAGGCCCGCTCTACATCTCCGGGCTCGCTAAAGCGTCGCATCACCATGGGATTCAGCTCGGGGTACTGCAAGAGGCGACAAATGCCAAATATTTCAATTATGCAAGGTTTCAGCTTTTGGAGGAACGGCGCACGTGGGTTGGGCGGATGGTGTTTCTGTCTGGCTTTTACTATTTGCCAACGCATATGCATTCGCGGGCAACTGGCGTTTAAAAGCGGGCTGTTTGAAACGCATAGCACGCGTCTGCTAATCGCGGCCTGCATAGCAAATGGGTATGGCCGCAGGCGCTAATCGATCCCATATGCAATCGACTTACAGACGCATCTCCAGCCATCAGCCAACAGCCACCACCCACCCACCACATATGATATCATCGCTGGCACCACCCGGTCATGCCCGGGCAGGCACTTTAGATGCATGCGCAAACAGAGACCTGCTCTGGTGTTTGCATTATTCCCGATTGGATCGATCGACTGTTGTCACAGCAATGAGGAAATATCTTCAAGCATTTCATGTCTATAAGTAATCTAGGGGTAATTATCGTTGGCCCCGCACTCACCTTTTCGCATGCAAAGAGAACTGGAGCCGTGGCCAGGCCCAGTTTGAGGTCTGCCGCCGTTGGCTTTCCCATCTGTTCGGTGGATGAGACAAAGTCCAGCATGTCGTCGACCAGTTGAAAGGCCAGGCCAATGTTTCGTCCGTACTGGAAGGCCACTTCGGCCACATTATCATCGGCCTGGGCAATGACGGCGGTCTGCAAGATTGGGTTCGGATTGGGTTCAAAGTCAATTGCAATTGGCGGTGCAAATGGGTACAATGACAGCGGCACGCGTGCACACTAATTGCTGAATTATCCGCAAAGACAACACAGAGACAGAGGCTGCATCGAATGCCAGCCCCTGCTGCACGGTTGCATGCCGATAACGATTACTCACCGCCTTCAGTGCGTTGGCAATCAGCGATGCGGTCTTCCTGTATGTCTTGGTCAAATAGTGGGCGAAACGCTCGTTCTCCGTTTCCCTTGAGCCCAGCTGCATGAACTCGCCTTGAACCAAATCGGTTAATATCTGTAAAAATATCAGGTATTTTAAATATTCCGCACAATGGCCCGTAAATATGTCACAAAAGATATGGTTATCGCTTCACGTTCGATTGTTCTGTAATCCCAGTGACGTTTCCCACAATAAAATGCACAATTTGTGGCTATTTTTGGTGTCGTGTCCCAACAGGCATGTGCCAATGTTGTAGGGGCGCAGCCATTTTGTATGGTGTGTAACTTCCGCTTGGGTGAAGCCTCAAATGCAAAAAGCAAATACTATTGTGCCAAATATTTCTGGCAAACACAAATTTCATTCAGTGCTCAGATACGATGCTACCTGTCTACTATTTCTATGTCCAATTTTGTTTGCACACAATTCGATCGGTTGGCACGCCCTTAAATTCGCTTTCGATAGGTGTTTTCATTCATTCGGACCCCAAAAAAACTAACAGACACTTGTCAAAATCTTTGGCAAACACTCGGCCTATAGTGCGTGTGCGTGTCCGTCTGTGTGGGCGCTGATGATCTGTGGCTGTGTGTTTCCAAGGAGCTCAAGGCGAGGCGGCCATAACTGGCCAATAGCTTCTGGCCAAATTCTGGCTGCTACCTGACTTTCAATGTTAATTAACAAAAAAAACAGCGCACAAGCCAGAGCGACAAGTGCGTGAGCTTCAACAACCCGAGCAACAAAATGCATTTGGAGCCATACACTCGCAAAATTAACACAAAGCCACCAAATAAAGCCAAAATGCTGCCAAAACCCGGCCAATGCCTTGTGTTGGCCACATTTTTTCACTCAACCGCAAAATGCGAGCGCAGTTTACGGAGTCTTTCGCTTCAAGGCAGCCGTAAAGAAAAACTGTTTGCCTCGAAGCAACTTGTCGTGAGGCACGTACATGGGAATTTTCTTTTTCGACAAAGAAAATTTGGACTAACGAAAATGCACATAAAATAGGGAACGAATGGCCCGCTAGATTGGGGGCTAATATTAAGTTAGAATCCGAAGAATGTTATGGAATAAATAGTATATTTTATGTTTATTTATTTGTAGCAAAATTGTTCGAGATTTTTATGCAAAACTGTCATAAAATTAGCAGAGGACATTCGGATAAAATTCAATTCCTTAATGGTCTCATTTTCTTTGAAGTACATTTGTATCTGACAATGTCTGGCATTTCCAAGGGCGTAACAATCAAACTTAACGGACTGGTTTAACCCAATACCCAGTAAAAGTCATAAATCCACTCGATTAAGAGTCACAGATATTCTAATCATACTTTTTTTTTAATGCTATCAACGTCTTAGAAGCCGTTGAAATTATTCAGACACGTGCAGGGAATGCTTAATAAGAAAATCTGACAAATACACGGGTATAGGCCACCGATTGTCGTAGTAGATGAAAGAAGAACCTGCCAAAAGTCGTTTGTCAATAGAAAGATATACAATAAGAGGTGGAAGAATACCAAACACTAAACATTTGTATTCAATATTGGGTAGTTTTTGGAAGAGATTTGATTGGTGTTTTATTAATATAGGCCTAGAATCTGGTTATCAATTTGGAAAAGTTTGCAAAATTGTGAATTTTTAGGTGAATCTATTAAGAGCAATATGTAGAAAATTTAGAATGGTTGCAATAACAAACTATTTCTACAAAACTCGAATATTAAAACCAGATTTGAAGATTTATGCAAATCAGAATCAGATTTTTTTTGTTTGTGTCCAAAGCTAATTAATGGGAATAAATCTATGTATGTGTAGAACACGTTCCTACAAGAAAAGATAGATAAATATTTTTGACCTATCGCCATGACCTCATGCCCGCAAAGAAAGTTTTGCCTTGGTGGGATCCACACTGAATGTTTGGTATGCTAATGAGATCTGATCTGATCTGACCCGATAGAGACACGGGTATGATAATTCCAAGATTGGCATATGTTGGCATATGCATGAGCACCTTCAGCACAACACTCAAAAAGCGGCCGGCCGGGCCACACCTTTTGGTTTCATCCTAAGATGTTACGCATGTTTTTTTTTTTTTTGGCGAACTGATAAAACCTATGTATAAAAAGATGGGGATCCGAGACAATGTGTAGCCCGAAAACGTAGGCAAGTTTATAGTGTTTGCTTGGGCTATTAACTTGGCTCGGTCGATTGTGTAAATATGCGATAGATATACTCGCAGAGATAGGTATGTGGATATATGTGGAGACACCTCAGCATCCGTGCGCAACAGATCTAGTTTCACTCTCACACACACGCCGCGGCCGAAAGTGAAATTGGCAGATGTGACTAATTCGAAATTTATAGAAACTACGTGAGGGCCGACGAGAGACACGTTGCACAATATTTCATCATTTGTGCGGAATTCCATATCAGCAAGGACGAGGAAAAACTTGCATTGAACAAAGCGAAACGTGGAAAAGTGAATGCCATGCCATGCCATGCCGTTGCTAAGTTGCACGAACTCTGGCGAAGGGCAAACCTTGGATGACGGCCGATTCCCAGGGACGCAGGAAGTGGCAGGCCGAATGATTTGTGCCCCCATTTGTGCCCCTCAGGGACTGACTGGTTTCTGAATAATGTTGTAACCGAACAACAGCTTAAGCAACTTTCATTTATTTTTTTGTTGGTAGGGTACGCGTGTACTACCATGAGACAAAAGTACTCTTCTGTTTGTCCAACAATCGTGTGAAATTTGGCACCCACTTGGATTACGTACTCCCAGAAAGATACACACAAAGGCACACACAGATATGTAGATCTAACCAAATTTCATTCGAATCCGGGACTTTATTTTTGTGGTCGATTCTTGATGGCATCTTTGCCCCCATCAAATGAGTTGGACAAATAGTAGATGGGCATTACCCGTACGGAGTATTTGTGTTTGCTTTCGCAATTAACTAGAAGCATAAAATGTGCGAGGTATCTCGTACGTGCCGTCCCAAGTATCTATATACTCGTATTGTGTGTGTGTCTATTCTTATGGATGTGGGTGCAAAAATCTTTAGGGTTGAGTGCTTAAACTCCAAAAAGCACAATGAACTTGGATCGATGATGAAATTTCGGAAGGGGTGCGATAATACGGCTTATACTCGTACTTCCTGGAAGTATGTATTCTCCTGCTGTATGAGGAAATTCTGATTCTAAGCTTTAGGGGGTTTCTAGGTCTCTTGTAGAACCTTTAATATTTGATTGGCTTTAATGTGACGGGCCATTTATGATTTAGTTTAGTGTATACCATTCGGTAATACTAAATTTCAGCTGTAGGACTCATGTGTTTTCATGGAAAATACCTTTTCCCCAACAAAAAATGAGTTCCCCCTTTTAGGTATTCGTCATTGGGTTGAATGCGTAATGCAACATTTTTCTTACCTGACTCAAGACGATCGTCACATCGTCGCTGCGCAGACGGGCTATCATAATCGAGGCAATCGATAAGATATAATCACCAGCCATTGTGACCTGAACGAAAGACGAAAGAAAAGAGAAACATACATATAACAAAAGTTCAGGCAACATGGACAAAGGGAAACCGTTGACTGTGGAAAGAGTTAAAACAGCCTAACAGTAAAGGCAACATCATCAAAAGCCGATATCAACTCGACTGACATGTGACTAAGACTGAGATGTGAGGCTGAGATACAATCAAAGACATGAAATTAAAATCCCTTGAAGGTTTGTTAAATGCCCCTTTTAATGATGCCTCCTCTTCGAAAGTGTTGAATTAATTTATGCATTCCAATTTTTGAAAGACACATGTCGAAAAAATGCAGGCTGGACTATGGCCTATGGCGGGGGGCTATGATTAAATTTAATGAAGAGGCATCTGATTGTGAGGTCTTACAAAATGATGCAAGATGGCAAGATGTTGACAAAGTCAATAAACACTTCAAATCGAAATACGCAACAAATTGATGTCAAAGTCAGAGTTGGGATGCTGCATGATGATTGCCTTTGCGGTTGGCTGCTGTTTGTTGCTTTGATTTATTTGATTTTGGCAAACATATAGCACGATATGTGGTATGTGTGTGCAATCGAAGATCTTTACCTTTTTATGATTCCATAGAGCGTTAACGCTGGGCTTGCCGCGTCGGAAGTCCGACTGATCGATGACATCGTCGTGCACCAGGCTGGCCGAGTGTACCATCTCGGAGAAGAGAGCGACTTGTCGTTGTTTGTGTACTAATTGGCTGTCAAGGCGATAGGCAAAATAGTATTTTGTAAAAAGCACACATTACCATTCAATATAACTCCGATATATCCCATTCACATGTGTACATACCGACCGACCGACTGCATACATACATACATACATATGTACATATGACTATGCCGGGGACTTTAATTTGGCCCAAAAAATGCGCACATTTCGCAAAGCCATGCTAATTATGTACACTGTGCTACATGGAACACCCAAATCGAAGCACAAACAACACTTACTGTGACTCGTTGTTCAAATGATAGTTTATCGCCTTGGCCATCAGCATGGTGACCATGGGCCGCAGGGCCTTACCCTGGCCATCGAAGTAGTAGCTGGCGATGGTGTCCAGCTCCGGCTGGGATGTTCCCGATTGCAGCAACTGCAAAAGATAGCATCCAATATTATTATGTGTTCTGGGGTTTGTTTGTATTGCGGAAATTAAAAATTCCCCCTGACTGTCTGGGGGAAAAAAACCATATAATCAGTGACGTATCTAACATATTAGTGGATATTCTATTTTGAATATATTGATGAATTAGTTGTTATTTTGCTCTATCAAAATATTTGCTTATTTATTTTTAATTTTGTAGACTCGAAATAACCAAATATATGTCATGCGGCAATAGGAATGTTTTTCAAGGCAGATCTATATAAGAATGCCACTAATTTAATGCTAAATATTTTATAATATAAGCAAAGGGAAAAAATTAAAATTTCAATGGAAATTACGGTTTTCTATACGTAACAATTTAAAGCTGCTTCAGTACTAATTTTGATATCAAAATTTAAGATACATAGTAAAAAAATCATTTTAGATGATTCCCATGAATAAGTCCATTATTCATTATTGACATAACTTACATCTCTCACATCATCATAAAAGTACTTGAGTTCATCGTCCAGTATGATGTACGGATCGATCTGAATCTCACGGACAGGACCGGCGGGCTGTTGGGTATGCACCGAGCTGTGTTGCCTTAGATTCGTCTTGGAGCACTGCGAGTACTTCAGATTGTGGCTGCAGCTGTGGGTGTTTTGCTGTAAAAGAGAGATACAGAGGGAGAACAGGGATTTTAGAATGTTTGGTAATTTTTGTGTTGGATAAATGCTGCAATTAATAACAAAGTGTGAATAATTGAAGGAGCAAACAAGTCAGTTAACAACTTTCAATTGCGGCTAACAAGTTTCGCCTTGCCCGACGACCGAAATTAATAACTGGAAAATTGCAGCAGCCAGAGAGCCCGAAAGCAGTAGGCTGAAAAAAACAGCAGCAGCACCAGTAAATGGCCAACTAATTGAAGTTTATTGTTAACGCCCTCGCACAGCGACTCTTGACCTTGTCGCCAAAATCTCTATTGTTAAAGCCAAGTCCTTTTGTTTGGGGCCACAAAATCAAAGCCAAAACGAAAGCCGCACGCGCTGCTAAACTGCTTGGCAACATGTTGCCACGAAATGCCCCGAAATGTGTCTTTCGATTTGGCGTTTGTTTCTTTCCGGAGCAATTTATATGCAATGATGAAATCGCCTTTTGGCTTCTTGTGCATTCAAGCAGTCGCTCTATCAGTCTGTCGCTCTGTCAGTCTGTCAGGCTGTCAATAGGAGTCGCACTCAAATGCAGTCATGATAACATGTAAATTTTATGTTGCCGACATGTCAACACAGAGGCAAAACGGGAGGCAAACGTTTTTTACATGCACACCATCTAATATTTGTCTATGGTGCGGGCCCTGGGCGTGAACGGATTACGCGTATTGGTGGTGTGTTGACCCACTTGATGGTGGGTCCTGCATCACAGTCAATGACCATCAACAGCCACAAGTGGCCATAACCATTCAACGCCCTTGGCTACATCATCATCTTTGATTGGTCTCCGGATCTACCACACACACGTGTGGACAATGGACCCCAAAAAACTGGTTCGATGATGCTGGTTTCTTTTCATTGATGATCAGATTTGGGGGTCTCTGCTGAGACATCGTAAAATACCCAAACAAATTGTTGACCATCTCATACCCAAGCGATCCCCCCAGCCCATTCAAAAGAGCTTGTAAATGACCCAGTTTCATATTAAATATATGTCATAAACATCGGTTGAGGCTTAGCTTTTAGCGGTGTAGAAAGCGAGAGGCCTCATACTTAAATGTATTACAAAATCGGAGGGCATCACAATTACAACAGCAGCAGTAGCAGTAGCAGCAGTAGCAGTAGCTCCCCTCCAAAAGAAATCCAATTAAATGCGAGTCGTGGAAACTTTCATTTTCAATATGTGCGCCAAATTAAAATTAGTGGCCAATGGCCAACAGAGTTCGGCCAGTAATCGTACTCGCACTTGTTTATATTTGCGAAAAAAAAAACCGAAAAAATTACACTACCATTTCTTTGGCGAACGTGCAGAAATGCATATAATTGTGGCCCGCATACGTTGAATGATTTTTAAATGGTTTTTATGGTCGGTCTTTTTCGTCGGCCAACCACACAGCAGGTGCCACACGAAGCCGAACGGATTTTAAGTGTCTCTAAACCGATAGTCTCTTCAGTCGTAAGTTCAACATTTATGAATCAATTTATTTGTTAAATGCCTTAATGCTCCACACTTCAAGATCTACCAAATTCTGGGGCAGATCTTCATCAAAGATGTATAAACTCGTGGATTTTTCTGGTTAACTGTTGCGTGCACAAGTGCAGAAGATGGAAGATACAAACAATAAAAATATAGGAAGTACTATATTATTCGTTACAGTTGGCTGGATTTGGCTCGGGATTCACTTTTCAGGCATGTGGTTTGTTGTGTGAATGTGGTTTGAATGAAGGAAATATCTAGAAGAGTGTAGGCAGTGCAGAAAAGGAAGACTGCAGATTGAAAGAAGGAAATATCTCCCTTTTTCTTTAAGATTGCTGGAGCAGCCGTGTTTCAACCATCAGATTTATATGTGAAAAGGTGAGTGAATGTGTGTGAATGGCAGCATTTACTCCAACAATAAAAAAATATCGTCTAACAGCAGCTTTAACAAATTAAGCTACCAAAAGAGTTCACTCTTTTGTGATTGACTCGAATCGATTGATAAGGTTAAGCCGCAAGAGCCGCCACACCGCAAAAGAGTCAGCAGGCAGGCCGATGCCGATCAGCAGCAACTTTCACATTGATTTCAACAACAACAAAAAAAAAAAGAGAAATAATAATAACAATCTTTTGGCAACAAAGAAATAATATAATTTTTTTTACTGATTTCTGTATCGCCCCTGCCAATTTTCATTTAAATACTCGACTGTTTTTGGAGCCGTTAATTTAATTGGCAAACAAAATGGGGAGAAAAAATGGGCGCAGCGATCAAAGAAAATTGCAGCAGCATTCAAAGAAGAGTGTGCGACCTAAGAGGTATGCAAACGGAAAAGACAAGTGCCAAAAAAAAAAGATAAAAAAAAAACCACACCACATAAATGTTTTCAATTTTGCGCCTCAAGGCGCTCCCACGACATAATCCGCGATCCATCCCCCAATGGGATGGTGGGATGGGATGATGGCCTCATCTCAAGCTGCAATTGAAGATGAAGATGAAATGTTGAAAGTATTTAACGATCTACTCAAGTGTCAGGGCAAATCCAAGAGAGCGCGCGCGCTGATTGATGTCACAGATTGATTGACAAACTCGAAACTGCAACATTTTGCAACATGTTGTTATTGATGTCTTTACGACTTACTTACTTATTGTTATTTCTTATTATTGTTATAATTTTGCTCTTGTTTGCATAGTTTATTTTTTGTTTAGTTTTTTAAGGCAATTTGTATTCCGTATAGCCGTATGGTATCATAAGCCATTTGTACATATTTTTTGTTGTTTATTTTTCAATGCCTCATACAATTGCCTTTGCATGTTGCTATTTTTATGGAGGTCTCATATAACACCTGAAACCGTAGACCTCCTACAATGGAGTTTAAGCTATATATAAGCATTAATTTTAAGAATTATTCCAATTATAATGATCATCATGCATGGCCAAAAAGAACATTTAAGTTCAATCAATGTTCCGCCTGTTGCCTTTATTTAGAAATATTAAAAAAAAAAAAAAATGTAATTGCTTAAAGAAATTGTTTCTACATATGACAGAGCGGGCCCTGTGGCGTAGCGGAAGCAGCGTATTGGCCAAAAGCAAAGGCAACAGCCAGAGAAACACAGTCAAGAAAGTGAGTGAACCTCTCTTTTTTCTGCCGAGGGCCGAAGTCGAAGACGGAGACGACGCTTTGGACTTACTTTCCCTTTTTGTCATCGTCGTTGTCGCTGCTGATGTTGCTGTTGCTATTGATGTCGCTGCTGTGGTTGTATCTTTTATTTGTATTTGTGGCTGACATAACGAAACGTTGGCTGGATGAGTAAATGATTGGAGATATGGCAGAAGCTGAGAGGCGTACGGAGGAGGTGTGTAGGGGGCAAGCGATTGGCTGCATATCTCGCTCGCCATGGCCGATTTAATGCGGTATGTAATTTCTCTGTTCGATTTTCGAGCCGCTGTTGCTGTTACTGTGCCAATGGCTTCTCCTTCTCCCTTCATTAGCGGCACTGACTGCTGCTGGCAAAGTGGTTAACATGCGTGTTAGCAGACACCATGCCACCGCTCACGCAGCTCAAGTGAGTGTGAATGCCAAGTGTTGGGGAGTGTTTGCCCCCAAATCTGGTACATCTATGTATACGAGTATTTGTCAAATTGCATTGAGAAGGAATGCTTCTGAGGGGCATCCAATACCCACCCAGAGACTAGTATTGACAGATGAATGTCTCAATGCGTCACGGTTTCATTGCGTTCAAAATTGAGCTCATCAGAAACTATGACAATTGCAATTATTAGGGGGGCGGTACTGCGCATTCAATGCAATAGATTGGGAAACTTATTGCTGCGGGTCAGGGTGAAAATTTAGGTTCGTAAAGAAATATAAGGAGAAAAGAGGCTGCGGAAATGGCAAAGAGAAATAAAAGTGGAATACCCAGCTTGATCAAAAAAGATCTTTAGAAGAGAGATCGATTTTGGAATTCAATGGAATTAAAAATGAAACAAATGGCTTCTCTAAAACTCATTAAACATTGAGGAAGAAGGAAGAAGAATTATAAAAGGATTCGTTGGGATTTCGCTCTATTCAATTACATTTAGATTCCTTTTTTCCTTCCTGACTATTCACTGAACTAGTTTTTACCTCTGACTCCAATCAAATCACCCTTCAAAGTTCCCCCAACCTATTTATCTATTAGTAATAATCTCCAACCCGATTTAAACTAGTTTTCCAAAAAACTACTTTAGCTTACAGCTATATCATATATCAATGCACGAATCACCTTAAATTCCACTTTGAATCTTGCGCAACGCAACACGATTTACAATTGAAATTAGTGCGTGTGTCCAGCCAATGGGGCGGCTGCCTGATATTTCTGCAGTGCGTTGCATGTGGGCGATTTAAAACGTACACGCGTCTCAAGCCGCGTAAGACCCGCAGGTGTTTTACAACGTCTCAAAGGCCAAAAATTTCCCATTCGTTTTAAAACGCTTCAACTTCAAAGCCAATGCGTTTTCAAACGCTTCAACTTCAAAGCCAATGCGTTTTAAAACGCTTCATATCCCAAATGAACGCGTTTTAAAACGCTTGAACTTCCAAGCGAAAGGAAAAAGGCCGAAAATGGCGCGAGAATTATTTTTTATATATATATAAATTATAAAGTGGCGGTTCATTGGATACGGTAATTATGGCAATCTGTCAAAGGCATAAGGAAAAAATAACACCCAAACAAAATTGTTTTTCCAGACAAATTGGAAACCTGTTCGTTGTGGAAAACCAGAAAATTCAAGTTTATCCTGCAATGGCAACAACAACAAAGTGTAAATCAGCCGGGTCTCCAAAATGAATGTACTCCAAAAAAAATTACATAAAATGTGCAGACAGGAAAAAACACTGACAAAATCCAAAGTGGAAAACTAGACGCGTGCCGCAAATGAATGCCTATTTAAAGCGTGCTCTATCTTAATTTTGAACAGAGTATCTTTTTGGATATATTGATTGTTGAAGTGGGGGATGTGGCAATGGGAGACACAATAATTAACAAAATTCCAATGTTAATTAAGCTGAAACCTTTCGTCCACAAAACTAAACCGAAACTAATGACAGTTTGCACTCAGAAACCAAACACATTTTCACAGTCCAACACAAAGCAGCCAATCAGTGTGGGAAATTCATTTCCCTATAGATACACAAATGTATGCTAATTATCAATAATTATTGATTAAAATTATACAGAGATCCGAATGGCGAGCGACATTGATGAAATGTGGGGCTGACTGACAACCAGCTGAAAATCCATCGGTGGATCTGTGGGCTTGGTCCGAAGTTATGCAATCTCTTGCTCCATACTTTTGTTTCTTCCGTGGCCTAGACGTTGACGGCGGCATGGGCATCGGCGGCCGCTGCGGCGCTTCTTTTTGGCTTTCAAATCGAAATTCGAAATATTTTTGTTGTTAAGGAAAACAACGCTGAAATCATTAACAGTTAACAGTCTTGGCCGAGAGACGCCGCCAATCACACGCCGAGAGAGTGAAGCAGAAGGCAGAAACCACAGAAACCAGTTTAGGACAACACCAAAACGCATGCGTCTTTCATGGAATTGGGTCAGCAAGTACGGTGCCCAAGCCCAAGCCCAAGCCGAACCGAACAAAATACCAAAGCCAAACAGGCAAAAGAGCCAACAGTTCCAGCACCAGCAGCAGCAGCACCAAACGATCAAAAGACAAGCCATTGCAGGTGTAGGGACAGGTTGAATGAAAGTCAACCCAAACCCCAAAGCCAAAGCCAAAAGCCGCTTACGCATGCCCAAAAACCAATTTCGTTTTCGATTCCCTTTAACCATAACCGAAAATCCAATTAAACCATAATCGTAATCGTACACCCAATGCATTTAATGCACAATTATACCATTTTCCATTCATTTTGCATATGCATATGAAATTATTCAGAACTTTTCATTAGAAAATTTGGATTTAGTTTCTTTTTCGTTTTGGATCGTTTTGGTCAGGGTTTTTTGAGGCCGCAAGTGAAAGTGTTTTTTGTTTGCAGAAATGAAGACAAAGATTTACGATACGGCAGATGTATCTTTTAGCATATTCGGCTACTTTTATCCGTGAGAGCTTCTGCCACATATTTCTGCTCAAATTAATGACTTTCACACAATTTAATGATTGTGAAATTCCATGTGATAAATTGTGAATGAAAAGATGGTTAATGAGGGGAATGCTTTCGGGAAGTATTAGGTCGAGTTTTATTTGTCAGAAATGTATTGAAATAAATTGAAATGTAGTTGGTTCTGTAAGCTCTTAAATTTTATCAAACTAAGGAAATATATGCCGCTAAATTCCCATCTTTAATCACTCATAATTTTTGAGTATAATTTAAATCAAAAACACCATAGAGCTCTAAAACAAATCGTCAAACGTTTTCGTGTCCAAAGAAATTTCTAAAAAAAAAATTTCAATGAAAACAGGTTGCGTTTTGGTTTCACTTTCACAAGACCAAACCCTCAAACATTCAAATTAAATAATAAAAAAAAACCACGAGAGAAGAATCGACAGAAATCAATCAAATCAAAACGGGATACCGTCTAGAGGGAAGTATCTGGCATCTAATTGAAAAATCGCTACCTTGAGAGAGTATCAACCCATCAAATTCACACGCTGGCGTTAAAACTCGAGTCAGAGTCCGAGTTCCGAGTCCGAGTCCAAAACTATATGTTGACTTCATCTCACGCATTCGCAATGAAAGTGAAAAGTTTATACCGAAGGCGGAAGAAGGGGCATTGCACACAGCGTTGAGCGTTTTGGAAACTAATTCGAGTCAAAAGATATACCAGTCAACGATAACGAATACTAAATGCTGGCCAATAAGTTGCTTGCCAAATTCGTGTGGCGCATAGATAAAGACACAACACAATAGCCAGGCAGAGGCAGAGAGAGAGAGAGAGAGAGAGGTGTAGAGGTGAGTGGAGAGAGGGAGAGAGAAGAGCTCTCTTTGCTTTTGGCCAAATGAAATGAAGAAGAAAGTCAAAGAAACGGTTAAAAGTGAATTTCTTCTATGGCTGTTAGCTGTTTCTGTTGCTGTTGGCCGTTGCTTCTGCGATTGCAAACTATTATTAGTTGGCGTTTTTTGTTTTTTTTTTTTTTTTGGCTAAAAGCGTCTCTTGGCCAAGCGTCTCTGTTGTTGCTGCTGTTGCTGCTGTTGCCGCTGCGACGTGCGCTTTCTATTTGCGTTTTGTTTATTGTTTACCTATGATAGATGAACGTATCAGTTTCCAGCTGTATCTGTGTATCTGAGTATGCTTCAGTGTGCATCTGTGTCTCTCTCCTTGCGTCTGTGTTTGTGACTGTGTGTTGGGCATAAAACCAAATTTGGATTTGAATGAATTTTTATTTGAAACACAAAAAATAACGACAACTGCATACAAAGTTATTATTTACTTTTTCCTCAACTTTTGGTCAATCTTTTATATTCGAGAGCACCCCACACAGCACCCCAATGAAATGCACACGTCTATCATTTAAAACACAATAATAAAAAACATTAGATTTAATTCTTGGCTTAATTCCGGTGGGATCCAGAGACCCGCCAACCCATAGAGCAGGGCCGTATAGTGCTACCGAATGTCAAAAAAGGTGAACCATTAAAAATGGGTTTTAGTGAGCACTTAACCCTTTTAACACATTATCACCTTTGAAAACTAATCCGCACATGGAAAATATTTATGCCAGGGCCTTGAAACGCAGCCATAGATACTATTCCGCACATGGATAACCATTGCATTATGGCCAATGCCTGAAAAAGGCCTACAAAGCTGCACAAAAATAATTTATTGCATTCGCAATGCTAAAGCAATTAAATCAAAGCCTCGTCAGGGGGCTCCTTCGCTTGAGAATGGGGGAGGGGGACATAAATGGCGTGCCATAACACTATATAAACATTCAAGAAAAACACTTAAAACTAGTGGAAAACTGATGTACTAATTGTGGTTCGAGCCATAGTCAAGGCGGGCATGTAAGCAATTAATCTCAAGGTGAATGGATTAACAACTATTAACAACCCAAACATTCTATAACAATGGTCTGGAATTGCTTTAGTTATAAATATAATGAAAGAGGAGAGGCTGGCCATACGATGTTCCCAGCATAAAACATTCATATGGGAAACAGAAAAAATACAATAAGGAATTTATTGCTTTGGGAAGCAGATAACAAATATTAACTAATAATTCAGATTAGAGGTAATGTAATCCTGAGTGTCCCACCCGATTCAAAATAACAGCCATATGGCCGAGAATTTCACATACTATATTTCACTTTTTGTTGTTAGCTTTCCCCCTGGTGAGGAGTGATGCAATTCCAAATAAAACAAATTAAATATTGAGTGCTATCAGCTTTCGTTTCGTTCCCAATTGATAAGCAAACGCAAATCCAGATGTTAAACACAAAAAGGGTGGGGGACAGTAGTGTAGCCCCACTTCAAGTGGAATCTAGAGTACACTTGTGCGCAGGTCAGAGTTTCCGTACAGTTTCAGAAGCATTGCGTCTAATCAGCTGTTCCTCTCATAAAATTAAGCGCGAAAAATCAACAAGCAAAGCCAATAAATGTTGATAAATGGGAGCAATAAACAGAAATATTTCTATGTAACTAGCGAAAATTGCATAACAAAAAATGTGTAAGGAAGAAAAACATGAGACAAGACAGAGACCTGTCAACGGTATAAAAAAATTAATGACTAACTGACAGTCAGACTAGAAAGAGACATAATTAGGGGTAAAGAAAGAGGAGACATACAGAGAGAGATAGGGAGAGACTTCACCTTGCAAAAATGCAAGGAAAAAGCATTTGAAAAAGGTGTTTCGGTAAAATGGCAAAAACAAGAAACGAATATGGCTTCAATGGCCGAAGATTTTGATACTCTAACATCTGATATCGATTGCAAATGGAAGATCCTTAAGTACTGAAACTCGAATAAGGATATGCTTTAGCATAGAAACAGGCAGACGGCTCAAACAAACGCATTTATTTTTCGCTTAAAGGCGCTTTCTTTTCTGTTTTGCAGAACCGTAATACCCTTTGCAAGGGTATCAAAAGTGTAAGCAAAATAATAAATAAATGCGGCAGCTTCCGCCAACAACAACAGCGAGACAGTGGGCGCTGTTGCCACAAGTTGTTGCTGGAATTTGTTGGGGTTGTCTTCGGCCTTTGGTTTTTTTCACGCTACTTGCACAAAAGCAATGGCCAACAATTTCACTTTCATTTTCTTTTTGGCTTTTGCAGCGCAAAATGAAAAGCGGACAGAGACAGAGAGGCATGCCACAAGCTGCAACAGTCGTGGCAGTGGCAGCAGGCAACAGGCAGCAGGCCAAAGCCAAAGTCACGCAGACGCATTAGCGGCAACACTCGGCGCATGCGCAAAAAGGCATCGCCTTCACGACATCGACTTGAGCGCGCGCGGGCTGCCAATGCACTTTTGGCCAACGCCTGCTTAACGGGTTGTGGCCTGGCCACAGACCCCTCGATCCGATCTCCGGATCCGATTTGATCCAAACATTGAACTCACCAGCAAATCGAGATAATCCTTGCCCAGGTTGAAGCTTAATCCATGAAAGCGACGAACCAATTGGTATTGTTGTGAGTTTGCGATCGACTGCAGCTGGGATCCCGAGCCCGAGCCCGAACCCGAACTGGAGACCGACGCGGCATATCCTGATTGTCGTCCAAAGAGTTGGCACAGGAATTTGTGCGTTTGCTGGCGACGCGAACCGCACACAACGCGACCGGAAGTGCTCAAGCAGGCCATTTTGTTGTATTTGATTTTTGGTTTTTTCTTTTTTGTTTATTTCGTTTTTGTCTCTTTGGTTAAAGAGTAGTGCAGGTGCAAGAAACGATCGAGACACACACACAAAACACACAGAGAAATTAGGAGGATGTGCAGCTCACTGATTATTTGAGGGCATTCTTCCTTTTGTTTTTATTCTGGTTTATTATTCTATTGGGGGTTCGTTCTCGCAGGATATATGCGATGATCGATTCACACACACGCCCGAAACAAGCGGTCGGTCGACTGTCAGTCTCACACTTCTTCAAACGCTAGATCTACGGCGGAACGAGGCAAAGGTTTTTATATATGAGGCGGCAGCGAAGCGCGTTTGGCTTGCGTCTGGCTCCAGCAGCTCCAGCAAAGTGGAGCTTTAGTGGTTTTGGAGCAACCCGAGAGCTGGCTTGCGCGCCTGCGCGCCAACTGTGGTGAAAGAGTTGTTAGTCGTGGTGGGATTGGGGCTTTCGGGTTTGGTCCGATCCAAAGCCGAGCCACGATCTGCATTCGGCTTGAACTTGAGCGTTGAGGTTGAGCGTTGAAGCGGATGCAAATGATGCACGACAGTTGCACATCCGCTGTGCAGTTTTAGAGCAACTGTGTGGACGCAATCGTGGGAACTTTGCGCCTCCGTGCATGCAATTCCGGACCCGTTGCCCGTGCTTTGCTCTTATTCGGTGGGGGGATGATAAGGGCCGCTTAGTACGCGGCCATTATTTTACACAAAGCCTTGGCATAGCTATCATTGTCAACACTCTGGCTTAAAGACGATGTCCCATGCAGTACGGTCTACGCGATATGTTATAGTTTTAATTTAATTCTAAGGCACTTTCAACACTTTCAGCACTTTATTTTGACGTAATAGCTGTTGGCCAGCTGTTCGCCAGGGATGCAACAACGTGCGAAATGTCGCAAAGCGGTCAGTCAAGACGTAAGGCGCTAACGTCACACGAGGATAGAGATGGAATAACAGCGGCATATCGTGTGTGCTTAATCAAGGAGATAAAAATAGATTATATAGCTGGTATACTGTCCTTAGAAGGTTTAAATTATCAAACACAAATAATTAACAGCAACAATCAATATGTATACGTATAACAGCTGTTCTTCGATATATATATCGACTGATTTGTCGCTTCTGCTGCCCATCTCTAATCACGTTTACGTAAATCCAACAACTTTCGGAAAAATGTCGAAAAATTTGCTATTATCAATTACAAACTTTGTTAGAACCTTGGAGCGACTGTTCCTGCCCCATGGCGGACATCCGACAGGTGAGTGGCAGGCAGCTTTGACGAAACAAAGCTAAATTTTGGCTTCAATTCCCAGCGTTGGCTCTGGCCGGCTTCCAGCACGAACATGGCAGCACCAGCAGCAACAAACGGACACAGGAATTCAGTCTAAAGGAACTGATTGGCGATGGAATGCTCTGGGCCGTGCCCAAGCATAGGCGTTCAGTGGAGAAGCGCTTGAACCGCAAATTCGGGTATCCAGAGTACGTGTGGAAGCCGCTCAAGGTGAAGCGAAATATCCGCTCGTGCCAGACATGCGGCCATGACCATGAATTGGGAGTGCTGTGTCGTAAGTTGCGAAGAAAATATATAGAAATGTATTCGTGTTAACCAAATCTATACCAACAGCCTTCTGCTATAACAAGGTGCTGAAAGAAACGGAGCAGATGCAGGAGAAAATCCAAGAGAAACTCGGCCTGGATCCCGTCGACAAGGAGGTTATTGTGCTGTACGAGGGCGAGACATCCGAACAGACTGCCGAGCAGCTGCAGGGCAAACGCATTGTGGAAATGAATAAACCCCGTCCCATGTGGTTCACCAAAAATCTACTACAGAAAACTACACAGCAGCAGTCTGAAGCCAAAGAGGTCAAACCCTCCGATCTGGCATAGATATTAAGTCACATTGTGCATTAAAACCTACTTTGTTATCAACAGGCAACTTTTTTATTGAGTGTAAACTGCAACGAGCTCGCTTGCCTCACAAATCCATTGCTGAAATCCTGCGCACTCATTGGTTTGCGGCCCTCCACGCGCAACTGCAGCACTTCCAGCTGCGTGCCCTGGGCACAGCCTATCAGCAGAGACTTTCGCGAGCGTTGGTAGCTGAAATGGCCTGGTGGCTGCACCGTCAGCTGATTCTCAGGCAAGCGCAGCGCCAGCAGTTGTATGTGCTTATCCAGAAAGCTTGTGGTAAGATTTTTGTAGCCATACAGAGCTCGATGCCTGGCATACAGCTCGTCGGCGCTTAGCTCTGTCCACAGTATCTCTGTTATTTTGGACGTGATCTTAGGAGCTGCGGGAAAAGACTGATTAAATCGGATTCTCGATCGTTTGATGAACGTTCCCACCATAGCTGGCAGTTGCATTTTCCTGTGGCTTGGCATCCTTAAGCCTATCGGATAAGTTGTTTACAGTATCCACCAGCAAGTCGGCGCCTAAAAGCGCCAATGAAGCATGCAGCTCCGGCATGTAGACGTCCCTTCTAATAGGCACTTCACGCTGAGCCAGAATCTAAAAGGAGTTGATTCATATAGGCAAAAGAAATCTCTCTATATCTGTCCCTATACTTACAGCACCAATATCAAAATGATGTGGCTCAATTTTCATAATTGAAACTCCTGTACGCGCATCGTCCTTCATGATCGAATAGATGATGGGTGCAGCCCCCCTCCAGCGAGGCAGCAGGCTGGCATGCACATTGATCATTCCGCGGGGAAAGGCATTGATGATGTGTGCTGGAATCATGTGACCAAAGGAGACCACAACGCCCAGGTCGTAGTCCGCGCATTCAGTCTCTGTGATGGGCCACCGCTGCAGCGGGAGTTTCTCCCGCTCCGCATAGCTTCGCACACAGTTGGAGGGGCTCTTGAAGGACGTAACCACGCCCAGGTTCTGACTGCAAGTATCAAAGTATTAGTGTTTATTCAGACTTCCTCTTAAAACCACTTAAGTCACCTGCAATTCTGGTGTAGTCCCTGAAGACTGGGTAACGAGAAGTTGTCGGTGCCAAAAAACAGAATTCTAGGCGGTTTGCGGGTTGAAATACAACGTTTGATTATGGGACACACACTTTGCCACGCTTTTCTTTTGTATTTATAAAAGTTATTAACTAGTTTCTGGCCATAAAACATAATTAAAAACTATTGGATAATATGCCGCGCAAACGTAAACAAAGCCAGCTGTGCTCGTGGTGGCAGATATGGCTTCAAAACCATCGATGGCACTGTCGATAATACTAAAATCAGTATATTTACGGTATATTATTTAATCGATAATGACTAGCAACAATGACGGAGTCCGGTCACACTTTCGTTATATGCTTTGGCCGCTTTTGTTTGACCACTAACCATACAGTATACTGTATGGTTAGTGGTTTGACCCTATTATGTAAATAATCCAATAAAAAAGTGTTCTGAAAACTAGCCAATCTTGTACAAAATTGATTGATAAATCGGATAAAATAAATTTTGTAGGGCTAAGTGACGAAACTAGCTAGTAATATTTAACGGAATATCAAAATCGAGGAATATCTTATCGTGTCAGTCAGTATATTTACGGTATATTTTGATAAAGACAATGTATATTTCGGTTTATTTCTGAGGGTCTGAGGGTATATTTCATCAATAAGTCCGCGGTCACACTAAAAGAACAAAAACAACAAAAACAAAGCGAAATTTTGAAGAATTGAATTGAATTTGTCGAATTGGAAAGCTGCAAGCTGCAGATTTGTGTGTAAACTTCATGTGGACTTGGGTGAAGCGTTATGGAGGCAACAGCTGCTAAAACAACCATCCCCCCGGTCAGCGCCAGCTCCAGCACAACGTCCAGCGAAAAAATGAACTACGCACTGCAAGTGGCACTGCAGACGATCAAAGAGCGGTGCATACAGCTGCAGCGAAGGGTGACCAGCATGGAGGAGGAGAACCAGCGGCTGCGCGAGGCCAATGCCAAGGGCTCCGGTGTTGTCCAGCCGGGCAGTGGCGGCGGCGATTCGCTGTCCCTCCGCACACAGGTGGCCGAGCTGCAGCGCCAGAAGGATCAGTTGGAGGAGCACATCGGCATGGTCTCGAACGAGAATCGCAGACTGTGGTCGCGGCTGTCACAAATCTCGAAGGATCAGCAGCAACAGCAGCTGCTGCTGGCACAGGCGCCGGCAAAGGCCGAGGATGCGTCACCCGACTCGCGTGCCAATCAGAATCTTATTCGCTCCAAGACTTTCACACAGCACTCGCCAAATCCGCACTTGCGCCAGAAGATGATCTCAGATGGCCTGAGGGACATCAGTCTCGAGGAGATAGTGCTGGACGACTTTGGGGCCGGCGACGCCGAGATGGGCTATCCCTATGGCCTGCCCGGGGAGGAGACAACGGCCAGCGAACCAGATGCCAATTTGGATGCAAAACGTTGCATGGATGGGCTGCAGGATCTGCGACGGGAGGCCATGAAGCAGCAGCAGGAGCTGAGCTCTGCCCTCACGCTGCTAGAGACCCGTTTTGGTGAGCACTCGTCTCATCGATGGAAAACTTATATTCATTGTTATCTTATCTGTCTTTGAACAGCACTGCAGCCCTGCCCGGAGTGCGCCCAGAAGGCTGCCAAGAAGCCAGAAATGGCAGATAAGAGCCTTGAAACCGATGAGAGTCTCAACAACGAGCTCAAACTCTATCACAGCGAGCACAATGACACACTCAAGGGCCACAACGGGCACGCCTCCGCCCCTCCGTCTAGGATCAACATTATTCAGGAGAAGCTAAAGGCCGACGCTGCCGACGCCATGGAGAAGACATGCCCCATGTGCGGCAAGCAGTACTCCAGCCAGGTGTCGTTCAACGCGTTCCGCGAGCACGTGGAGATGCATTTCATTGACGACGCCTTGGAGATGGAGATCGATGGCAGTGTGGAGCGACAGTTCGAGTTCGTTTCGCATACGGTGGGCGACTTCTGACCCAACAAACGTATCTATTTTGCCACTGAACTCTGACGAATAGCCCAATTCCCCCAAAATGATGATTTAAATTAGTGTTACAGTTTTAAAGCAATAGGGTGCATAGAACCGCGTGCTTCTCGTTTTTTCCCCTGAGGGCATTGTTACGTTGCTATTGTTTAAGCAAATAGAATATAAAAATCCAAAATCAAAATCAGTTGCATTAATTGAATGCTCCTTTTATATACCTACATAGATATATTAACTATAGTGCGTGTGTATTTAGTTTTTAGTTACAGAATACGGAATGCTTACGGATTAAATGTAACCCCTTAAAATGCTAAGCGACTTTCTACTGCCGCAGCAGCAATCTTCTTGCGATATCGAAGATTCACTCATTCATTCAGCAATTATTGAAAAGTGAAACTGAAAGACGCTTCTCCAGCTTTGTCCACCCATAATTGTGTGTCCAATATACATAGACATAGTAATAATGACAAATGCTGGCCACCTCATAGTCGTCCATTGTTATGCCTAATTGGCGCCTCTTATGCGCGTTTCCCATTGGTTGCCACAGCATTATGGATATTACGAAATGGTTATCAAAGAAGTTATTGCGCAAAAAAGTGTGGATCTGATGAGTCGTGACCAGCAATCAATCAGATTTAGCATGGGACGGACGTGGCCCTGAAATGCTTGAAAATTTTATTTACAAATGCAAATTATTGCAGCTACTTTCTTTAGTGTCACAACAGGTCAGATTGCGTATCGCGTTTATTTTTTATAAAAAATATATAATATACATATACTTTTGATTATTGCGAAAATTGTATGCTCTTGGAGAGGGTATATCAAAATTGGCCAAAAGGACCACAGAAGGACGAATCTCAGACCCCATAATGTAGGTCAACATTTATTGTAAAATTTTCAGTTCTTTAATTATATTTATAAATGGCTGTTTAGAAGGTAAAACTTTATATAACTGGTGTAAAAACGTACCACATAAATGTCTTTTAGCCATCACGCCGAGCCCATCTTAATGGATCTAATAAAAATAAATTTTAAATGAGGTAAAGGGAATTTAAATGCCGCACAGCCTTGCCATGTTGAACCGCAAACACCTTTTCCCCAAAGATCTTTTTTCCGCATTTCCATCCAGACCCGACCATTCTTTCAAGAGCATTTATTAAATTTTTTACCATCGCCCCACAAATATTGCACAGACTACAAGTAATCCATCATTTATCATTTCAAAAATAAAACAACTGCAATTAGACTGCCAGTTGCTGCCTGCTACTGTTTGGCGTTTGATTTGCCACTAATAATCGCCCCACTTAGGTTTTTCGATTTGAACCCGATCCCGAGACGTTGCGGTAGCTTAAGCTATGTGCCAGCTACCGTGGTATTGTCGTAACTAAAGACACTATAAAAGTTATCGAGATGTGGGGGAACCGTTTCAGTTGTTTGACGGCCGCACCACCAGCGACAGCAGCAGCAGCAGCAACAGCATTTGCCACCGATAGTTATAGTTAACCGGGAGATCGTTATATTCGTATTCACATTCGCATTCGCATATGAGAAATTATGCAAAACTGAAAGCGACCAGAGACAAAAACAAACACGCGCGTATCCATTTCCCAGCATCAATTAAAGAACCATAAACAGAACAATCGGAGATTGCAAATCTATAAACAACAATGCCAGAATCGAGAATTTTTCAAAAACTTTTACTATTGCTGCCGCTTGCCTATACAAAGCATCCACAACTAACACATAATGGTAATCCCATTGGGCAGAACTCCATTCCAGAACTGAGACAATCATATGAGTGCATCAAGTGAAACTAAAAATGAATGAATTATATTTTTTTAAAATGTTCAAATTTACTGAACACCATTCCATATCGAACTCTTTTTTCCCATAAACAATCAATAATTAATCATTCCATACCTTATTTGGAGAGCATCCAAATGAGAGAGTGGATCGGTGTCGAATAAAATTACATCTGAACAAATTTAAAACTTATTCATGGTCTGCGCTAATAGGATTATGAGCCGCTTATCGCTTAAACGAAAGTGAAATTTGTCTCAGACCTGGTCTCTGCTTCAATTTCGATTTTACAGATGATGGCGATCATCATGTGCAACATTGGAACTACGAATATCATGGAGAGAACTGGGGTGGCACATGTCGGACGGGATTACGACAATCCCCCATAAGATTGGCCGCTCATAAAGTGAGTTCAACGAAAATAAGGTTCAAAACGGTTACCGACAATGAAATAATTGTAAAGCTCGTAAAATACAAATTTTTTCTATATGATGCTGCAAGAAATATGCTGTTCATAGTTCAGTTGAGTAAACATTCGAAAATTTCGTGTAAAAGTGCTGCAACTTTCAAAGAAGCAAACCCAGAAGAAGCTTCGAATTACTTTGATGGGTTTTAAAATGTCTTCGCTGGCAGATATGAAGTTAACAAAAATATTTAATTAATATTATTAAAGGTTGTATAATTTTCTCGACCTCTTTTGATACTAATATGCAGTAACCATCCATATGTTACCGCTGAACTTGATTACAACAAATTGCTTCCAAATGAGACAAATTGGAAACTCTTTTAGCGCGCACACTTTTCGCATTACCAGAGCTAATGGTTTTGAGGGGGCGGTGGTATAAGGGAGAAATTAATTTCAATAACCTGAAATTTTCTTCATGCTTTCTGCCAGTCGCTGATCGTACCACTGCCGCGGATTGTGTTTGGGAACTACGACACAAAGCTGCGAACTCCACTCAAATTGGTGAACAACGGCCATTCGGGTAGGTCATGTTTCTATGTAAATTTATATATTCCACTTTGATACTGAAAGATTTCAATCCGCAGCTCACATGGACATACCCGAAACGCTTGACAACAGCAGACCATTCATAGCTGGAGGCCTCCTCAAGGGTCGGTACATTGCGGAGGGACTTCATTTCCATTGGGGATCGCCGAACTGGCGGGGATCTGAGCATTCCATCAGAGACCAACGCTTTGATGTGGAAATGCACATTGTTCATAGGAATTCAAGGTACGCGGATCTCAGCGAGGCCTTAAAGCATAAAGATGGCGCCGCTGTGATTGGAGTTATGTTGAAAATTGTCCAAGTACGTTTTCCTATAATCGTTTTGATCCTCAAGTGAGTTCAAACATATCCAATTGGCTTTCAGCAACCAGATAGCATTTTTCCCGGTCTGAACAAAATCTTTGCTCAGCTTCCAAAGATCAAGAAATACAAACAGGAAGCGACTATCGTGGGGAGCCTTACATTGGGCCAAGTGCTCGGAAATTTGAACACCCGCGACTTTTTCACGTACAAGGGATCATTGACGACGCCGGAATGCGAAGAATCCGTTACCTGGACCGTGTTCTCCCAGCCCCTGCCCGTAAGCTTTGCAGCTGTGTCGCGATTTTGGAACCTGCGCAGCACTGACGGTTATAGATTGATCAACAATTATCGAAATATCCAGGCCCGGAATAGCCGTCCCGTGTACTATCGAACCAGCCCGAATCAGATAAACAATTTTATTGGCTATTAATGATCATTGGAGGATCAAAAATAGGAGCGAAACATACATTAACATATGTATACATAATTATTTATTTGATTTTTTAGGATAAGCTAAGTTGTTACAAAAATATTTATTTGGATTATATAAATTATTAAAATCAAATATCAAAATATCTGGTACAATAGTTCACTTTTTTAGCAATCAAAGATATGATATCTGGATTTTGTCTTATAATCACAATATAACCTTAAACAGCGATAATAATGTCTACACCCGAGTTGAGGCAGAAGTCAGTCAGACTGAGTACAAATGTTACCCAAGATCAGTTCAGGCAATGTCTGGGATCAGCTGAGCGATAAGCAGGAACTAATTGAGACAGAATCTGAATAGCACTATTGGTTAATTGCTTTTGCTTAGACTACAAATTAAAGGTATATAATTCCTAGAAATGATAAATCCGACAAATGTTCCATTGATGACCTCCCAGAGTTATCAGCTGGAAAAGTACTTAGGCAAATATATCCCTAATTTTTCCATTACAAAACCACTTACGTGCTATTTTTGTCACTTGCGCAGTTATATTATATTGACTACTATACGAGCATACCAGCCAAAGCTTACCCAGACACGTATTTATCTGAAATGAAGTTCGTTCTCCTTCTCTATTCGACACTTTGTTAATTTGTAGTCTGATTCATGCTGATGGAGAATTGCCAATGTAATTGGCTACTCCACTCTTTTTATACTTTCCTTTAGGGTATTATGATTTTTTTGCAGATGTTTGTAAACGAGCAAAGAGGGAAGATTTGAATACTTCGTTTTCGCTATTAGACATGTCCATACCAACATTCCTTGCTCCTTCAAAGAGTTTTATATTTTTGCAACATAAATCGGAACTGCTTAGATCGTAAGATGACTATAACATTAAGCTGCACTCGGAATAAGCTGATTAAAATCGTATTACTGAACGATGCATCGGTAAGGGTATCCCATCCTGGAATCTTTGAAGCTTGCTTTTCTCTCTTCCCTTCCCATTTAATTGTAAATCAAAGGAATATTTCTATTTCGTTTTTCTTTTCTCATCTGAAAAGATGGCCAAAGCTGCCATTAATTGCACGCTGTGGATGCGGCAAAACTCAATTATCTGGTTTGCTAGCTTCAAAACTTCTATAGGCGGAGCAGAGAAGAGTTGCAATGGCGCACAGTGGTACCTTTTTAGCAATACAGTAGCAGAAACATACAAAAATTTGAATAAAAGTCTCATGCAGCACAACAAAAAAACAATGATAATTTATTTTCTGACAAATTGCTACTCAATGGATATGTAGTTTGGATTTTTGAAACCCAATAAGATGTGAGACTTGTCCATATATTATCATTTTAAATGAAGTAATTATCTTTGAATTTAAATTTTCCTTTGAATTAAATTTAAAATTCTTGGAATTTTGAATAGGTTTTTTGTATTACTGGTAAGACTTCTGATGTATATTTTTTCTAGTTTTTATTGGCAAAAGGTTCCACTGTGCGGTTAGCCTTAATGCAACTCAGACTGCAAGTGGTTGCGCTTATCAGCCGCAGCCTTGAATGCACGCCCGTTAAGAATTTATTGGTTTTGCAAGTGGGGGCTGTTGGTGTTGGTTCGCTTCTGCCACTATAAATGGTCCTGCCTGGCTCTGGGAGACTTACAGTCTTTTTGAAATCTCCTGCGAGAGCAGAACGGCCAGAAAGAATTAAAAAATGTTTCCTTTGCCTACTCTCGGCTGCCTGCTGGTTCTCACCTGCTCCCACGCCTTGTTAAGTACGTATTGCTGATGCCTCTGCTTGGGATCGTCTTTGTGTATAGGATTCCTTTAGATATATCTGAGGAATATCCGACTGCCATAAAGTTCGACCAGAAGGATGACGTGACAGACGGAGACTTTAGCTACGAAGATCAGGACAACTGGGGAGGCATATGTCAGACGGGAGACGCACAGTCGCCTATTTATCTGAATGAAGAAACTGTAAGTTTTTATTTTCAACAGAATGGGGAATATAAGCAGCTAGGGAAATGTTTTTCAGGTCGTGAACATGGACGTCCCACGCGTTCGCTTCAACTACTATAATGGTACCCTGCAAATGCCTCTGGTTCTGTCGAACAATGGCCACACAGGTGAGTGACTAAATCATTTGATCATTTGAGTTATAGATTGAACTTGATTCTGAGCAGCCAGCTTGGAAATAACACCCACCCAGCTGGGACCGCGGGCCTACATCACTGGTGCTTTGCTGCCGGGCGAATTTGAGGCCCAGAGCGTGCATTTCCATTGGGGAGATAGGTACAGTGGAGGCGCGGAGCATGTAATAGCCTCTATGCGGACAGAGGCAGACGCGGAGATGCACATCGTGCACAAGAATAAGCGCTATGCCACCGCCTCGGAGGCCAGTATGCATCCGGATGGCCTGGCCGTGCTGGCTGTGCTGATCAGCTCCGTGAGGGTGCCAACCCCCATGGAAACCGGCCTCATCAAGATCTTCAATCGGCTGCCTCGCATTGTTCGGTACAACTCTAGAACCACAATAACTGAGCGCTTCCAAGTTGACGAGCTGCTGGAAAATGTCAGTAGGGGACGGTTCTTCACCTATAATGGTGAGTACATTCATACAAAATATTCTCTATTGGTATCTTTTACTCTGCTTTTTCTGTTCTTAGGATCGCTGACTACGCCGGACTGTGCCGAGGCTGTTACATGGATTGTGTTCCGAGATGCAATCGCTCTGAACTATCGACTAATTGAGAGACTGTGGAACTTAAGGGATTCACGCTCGATGCGCATTGTCAACAACTATCGCGCATTACAAAGCAGAAATGGAAGGCCAGTATACTATCGCAATCTACGAGGTTTAAAAAATATTTTGTAATTTTTATAAAATTAAGAATTTTGAAATATATTCAAAAGTAGCTTTTTCCACTTCACTTCCACTTTGTATGGGATTTTTGAAGAAACCATTCGAATGCGACATTATTAAATGCTTTTTTTTACTCTACTGGAATGATTTAAATATGATTACGGCGGTATGAACGGATAACAAATGATTTATGTGCTTCATTAAATGTCGTTTTATTTAAGTGATATATTTTATCTGAGATAAGAACTTGCAGCTTGTAAGACTCCCTTTGAGCTACATAGTTCCGGTGCGTGCAATTCAGATCTTGATTTCTGAGTTCAACAATTCATTCATTTATTGTAGCGTTTTTGAACCTAAATGACCTTATTTATATTAATCTTTTAACACAAAGTTACATTTTGAAAAGAAACGTTTTCTTGCGCCAGACTCTTTGGTAGCGCTCAGCTTGTGTCAGCTGCAAACTTTGCACCCAAAAGTATGCTATGACTCTTTCTAGTGTTGCCAGACTAATAGATTATACTTGCTTTTTGTTCTGGTTACACTTTAGCGGTTTTTCATGCAAATTTAAATATTCTGGCGATCCAGCGTGAACTTAAAGCAATATCTCCATGCTAACAAGCTTATAATAATTATTATTTATTATTATTTTCTCGTAAAATATTCTATGTGTATGTTAATCAGAAAATCTTGATTAAATCAGTAAAAGTTACTTAACTTTGCGTAGTCCCATTAAGCAACTAAAACAAATATTGAGTATTAATTTCGCAGAGCTCGTCCTCGTGGATTGAACACCCTTCCCTCTGTTTTTTCAGAGTGGAAGCTGCCGCCGTGGTGCACGGATGAGTGGAACGCCGGCAAGAATTCGTTTTGGCTTGAGCTTTTGTCTGGATATGACAGATTTACTGCGCCATATATCCCAGCGAACAGATACGGCCAACTATTGGCACCGGGATTAACGTGGACGAGGGGCGTGGGCAGGCGAATGGGAGAAATGAGAACTAGCACTGGGGACTGGGGACTGGGGACCGGGGACCGGTGGTACAGGTGAGGGCAAGATAAAAGGCAAGTCGGCATCGATGTTACTCATACTCAACGTGCAACGGACGCACACGCACATACAGGGGACACAGGAAGGGGTCCACATATGGGCTCCATAGACAATTTGCATTTGCAATTTTCACTGCAGCGCCTCTTGGATGTCCTCTCGCTTCCCCGTACCCCTACCCCTCCGTTTCCGCTTTCCATTGACTGTTACTGTCGTTTTCTCGTTTTTCGCGACTGGCTGCGCACTGCATTTTTCACATTTTTCATTTCCGCTTCCGCTTCTACCTCAAAAAGAGAAAAGAATAACCCCACCCTTCCACGCCCATTCTGGCAACCTCATACCAAGAATTTCCGCGCTTTGTGCGTTTATCTTTGCCTCCGACTCTGACTCTGCTCTCTCCCTCCCGCCCTCTCTTTCCCTGCCTCCTGGTATATCTCCTGCTTATTTGCAGATTAATTTGGCTGCTGCTACCTTTCCTCCCGCTCTGTTAATAGTCTTTCACTCACCTGGGGAGCAATTTGTCGCACAATCCTTTGTCACCAATCTGTAGGATCCACTTTATTCCGTTGAAAATTTTCCATTTCCGGCTGCGTCGATATGTTCCAACCATCGCACTTCCATGCAGCTCCATTCGTGAATTATACCTCACCTGGTGCGTGGTTCATACTTCTATGCTATCTTTTCTGGTCAAACTAATGTTGGGCTTGGCAGCTTGCCTCTCTTGGCGTCAACAGTGGCAATGGATTAGACTTCGGTCATGCATAGCCTTCCTAGATCAATCAGCTCAATCAGATATGCTTCAGAAAGCAACTCGATATTTCTTTGGTTTTGGCATCTGATCCACTCGTTCCGTAAAGCCGAAATGGCTTTGTCTGCACTGCACTGCACTGCACTGCACTCTGTGTGATGTGATGTGATGTCATGTATCCATCAGTCGGCAGTAACACTTTGTGAATCCGTCTGACAGATTCGAGCCTGCAGCTTGATGACAGAGTGGCATGTAATTCGGGAAGATGAGGAGCCCCTGCAAAGAATGTAGTCCACTTACTTATGTTTTTCATTCTAAAAATAAAGAAAAGAGAAATTAATCATTGAAGTATTCACTCTTAATTGAAGGCTTTTGGAGCTCATCATCATTAAAAATGTGTTCTTTATGACTAGGTGCTTGGCCTATAATCCACTTTTTTAATCAGAACAAATCTGAATATCTTTGTGCAGAACCAACACGTGTCCTCCATTTGCCCACCCAGCTCATAATCCTTAGGAGGGGGCGGAAAAAAACATGATTTTTGTTGTTGTTGTTGGGGGACACAACTTGTTCCTGCTGTTGCTCTCGCTGCTGATGATGATGATGTTTCCGCTGGCTGACATTTAACGCGCATTTAACTAATTTCATTTTAAATTGTTGACAATTAAGGGGAATTGCCAAGACGAATCGGGAGGAGGAGACCAATGCCTCGAGTGCTTCGTGGGAGTTTCTCTGGCATTTCCCACTTTCCCACTCCTGCAGCGCTGAGCGACGAACACCACGTGCCATGTCGCAGTTAATTTGTTGGCAATAAGTTGGAACACAAGGCCTAATTACAACAACACGCACGACATGACTGCGAAATTTTCATTAAAATGATCCAGAAAGCCTACGTACGCCATAGTCGGGTGCGAGGACAATGGATCCAGTATCCGACACGGGACAGAAGCACTCGGTTTCCAGCGTTCAGCGTTCAGCGTCCAGCAGTTGCAGTCGAAACGGCAATGGCAAAGGAGACACTGCCCTTGCGACTGGTCGTGGGTAGAGCTGCCTGGTGGATACCCCATCCAGGAGCAAAACCACCGCAATGCCATTGCAAATCCACTCGACACGCACCTGTGACTGTGACTGTGACTCTGACGAACACGGTCATGGCCGCCGCGACATCAGCGGAGGATACGCGAAAATTGCCATTTGCTGCCGCTTTAAAGGATTTCCTGGAGAACCTGTCCTTTCATTGTTATGGCAAATTAGTCGAGCACGGACGTCGCATTCAGGAGCGGTAAGCAGTGAACAGTGGACAGCAGACAGTGCTGGACAGTGGGGCTCCATCCAGCAACCTTTTCAATTAGCATTAGCCATTACCAAAACCGTTAACCACCCGCAGCTTCTTCTGGCTCATTTTCCACATAACTGCTCTGAGCGTTCTAATTGCATTCCTCTGGGGCACCTGCATGAACGAGATCGAGGAGGCTCTCGTCACTACGATGTACCATCCGCTCTATCCCATCTGGAAGGTGCAGTTCCCGGCGATATCCGTGTGTAGCTTTAATCGCATATCTGAGCGTGCTGTTTGGCGTTATGCCCAAGAGCTGTAAGTCGAATGTTGTGACGAGATAAAAAACTAAGGGACTATCCTGTAATGCTTTGCAGGAGCATCAAGGACCCAAAGCAGCGCGGGGTTAGCGTCTGGTATGAACAGCTAAAGGACTTTCTGCCTTCGTTCTATATTCCCCATGAGACAAGGGACATTGACAGGGCCATGCGATTTCAGAGCTTTCTCGATAGATTCGACGTTGAGGCGAATGAGCTCTTCTTCAATACCAGAAGGCGCATGCATCTCCTTACACCCAACTGCAGCGACATGTTTGTGTCCTGCCGAATTGCAGGACGTACCATCGATTGTGTCCAGCAATTCGAGGAGTCCCTCACCAGTCATGGCTATTGTTGCACCTTCAACCATGATGGCAGGTTCGCTGATCCATTTTCTGAATCCTGTATATAAATATTGAATAATCCCATCATTGTAGGTATGTCAACAAGCGGGACTTTCGACAGCGTTACTTTGGACCCGAAATGGGCCTGGTGTTGACGCTGAAGACAATGCCCAGCGACCATTTTTACCCAGTGAATCCACATATGGGTTTTAGGGTAAGGGATACCGAAATACTCGCACTGTGAAAAGATTTCCCAACAGAATACTCTTTCAGATTTCCATATATGAGCCACATAGCTACCCGGATCCCTTTTCCGGCGGAGTGGCCGAACGAATGGCCAAGACGGGCGTGAACACCTTGCTGCCCGTAAGGGCAAAGATCTTTGAAACGGTGCCCGAAGCCCGCAGGATGAGTAAGTCGGTGGTAGGTATGCTTTGATGTCCTAACCAATCAATCAATCATTCACTCTCCATGTTGTGGACTAGCGCAAGTGTCTCTTTGAGGACGAAATGCCGTGGATCTTTACCCGTCGCTATACCTTCAGCAAGTGCATCTCCGCCTGCCGGGCACGCAGCGTTGTCAGCCTGTGCGAGTGCGTTCCCTTCACACTGCCCCATCGGTACATCGATGGGATTGAGAAGCGGCTCTACTGCACTCTACAGCATAACGAGTGCCTCAAGCGTTACGAATGTGAGTTAATCTGAAATTCATGGGAAATATACTTGTACTCGTCTTACTCATGTATATGCGATGTCTCCTGTGTCCTGTCTCCTGTCCCCTGTCCCCTGACCAGTTAAATGGTTAAATGTCATCACCAGTCGCGAGAATGTCACTGGCCTGGAGCACGAGATGCAGGATGCCCTCTACTGTCCGCAGTGTCTGGCCTCCTGCACGGAGACGCGCTACAGTGTGCGCGGTGCCATGACTCTGGCCCTCCCAGGCACATCGAAGAGCCCACCGTGAGTACGCTGGCGCCTTCAATTGAGTTCCAATTTCCATATGGAATCACTCCATGGCTCAACCCCTATTTCCAGGGGGGCTGACTCCTTGCCAAGAGATCGTAAAAGTTTTTCATTTTGCAGGCGAAGCAGCCTTGGACCTACTGCCAATAACAGTTACGGCAATGCCAACTCCAACTCATCCTCACAGACGGAGCTGGCTGTGGTTCGTATTTATTTTGCCGAAACGCACATTCAATACTTTCGCCAGATTATTAAGAGTGCCTGGTACGAGACCTTCAGTGAGTATCCGTGCCGTATGGAATGGGATGGGATGGAATGGTCTTCGGGGGTGGCTGTTACAATTTTGCATATCTCACCAACCATTATCCTCGTTTGCCAGGTACAATTGGCAACATCTGCGGCATTATAGCGGGCTTCTCATTGATTGGCATCTGCGAGCTGTTGTTTTTTCTAGCCAAACAATTATGGCAAGCCTGCAAAGCGGAACTGAGGGCAGAACTCGCACACATCCAATTCCGGAAGGAGCACCAGCACCCCACTAGGGGTACAGGGCGGCAGCACCAGCCAGCAGCAACAGCAGGAGCAGCCGGGGAACAGGAGCGACCAATGGAGTTGTTTATACTGCCGTAATTGAGCGCAATGCATCGTTAATTTTAAAGCTCAGTGATTTTTATGCACATCCTTTTGTATACTCCATTGATCGACTTCCAGCTGGATGGGAATGGTGTGGAGTACACCTACTGTAGCTGTAGTGGACTGTGGACTGTGGAGTCCGACTCAAGTGCACTTACTTTGCATGGTCATTGTCACATAAAAATAAACAGCGAACCTCCACGTACGATTGCCAATTGGTGGACTGGGAGTGGCATGGCTTGAAGAGTTGCCAAAAAGGCCCAGACGGTGACATTAGCGCCAGCAGTTGCTACATTCTTTCTGGCCATTTGCCCACTTCGGGGTCAGTGGCAGTTATGGACCACAGAATACATGAGCCTCCTTTTCCTGGTCCTGGTCCCGGTCCCGTCACAGCACTTACAATCAGCATTATCTTTTATTTTTCGTATGCAGAGTTGGCAGAAACAAACAGAACAGGATGCGACACACCAGCTGTTCGCTGTTGGCCAGCCCAAAGCCTTTGTCTGAATCGATGTCCTGAAATCGAATCTAAATTGGGAATGGGAATGGGGAATGGGAACCCCCTCCATCGCTTGTGACAATTTCAATTTCAATTATTCTTCTCGAATTACTTTTATCTGCCAGTTAATTTATTGTGTGCTCTGTGAAACTCTGCGATATTTCAAGCATAAACAATTTGTATTTACTTAGTCAGCAATGGGAATTTATTTGTTATTTGTTTGAACGAACACCCTCGGATGGGGCGAACTTCTCATTAAAGAAGGGCAGATATTGCCACAATGCTATTTTTGGCAAGTCTTAACTTTACCTATTGTTATACTAGCAGCAGAATACTTCGATGAAGTGGAATATTACCACTCCCCATTCCCCACTCGTACGTACATATGTACATATACTCGTACATATGCAAATTTCTAGAAAATTGAAATGTTTTTCCATTCAGTTTGTACGCCAGTTGTTTGGCTTTGCCATGCATAAAACTGCCTAAAAATTGCAAAAAATTTAAATGAACGCACTCGATACAGAGATCCCAATGCCGACTCAACGTAATCCTGATAGCATTGTTAAACAAAACACTGTTTGGGGAAGGAATCGAACAAAAAACTCAACAAAAAAGGGGGGTAAAAAAAGAAAGAAAGATGGAAAGTGGAAATGTATAGACCATGGACCAGAGCTTCAGCTTCGAATCGTTCCGCCTGCCTCTGTACCGACGAGGCGTATTATCGCACAATACAATATGTATATTGGATTATTTCGTTTGTGTAAGTTTTTGCAAGGGGATACCAGTAGCTGAAACTGAAGCTGAAACCATACCAGAAGCTAAAACTGAAACTGGAACCGTACCTGGTGGCAGACACTAATCCTCATACACCCCCTGAGCGAGACAGAGGCAGAGGCAGAGACAGAGACACACAGCGTGGTGGCTGTATAGAATTTCAACCAATAACAAAAATATGCGAACAAAATCAAAATACTTCTATGATTTTTTCAATCTCCTCCTTCCCCACCATCTTCGTCCCATGCTCCTTTCGCACCACCACAAAAGCGTTGAAGTTTTTAATTGAATTCTGTATGGAGAGGAGCCTGGTGCTTCGCTCCTTTTTGTAAGTTTTATGCCAAGTTACTGCATCGCAAATGCAAAAAGTTTGAATTGAGTCAGGTAAGGTTGGGTCTGTGGGCGTTTAAAGTTGGTTGGTTAGCGCGGTAAAGCGGTAAAGGCTTGTTAATAAGGAAATTGCAAAGATATGTACAGTAAGTCGAACTTATTGTAACTTATTTACTTTATTATCAACAACAATATCGGTATTGGCGTAAGGCAGATATTTTCGAAAAATTAAATAAAAGAAAGTTTGTTTCATTACAAAATAAACCAATATTCACAGCTCACTGAGTGGAAAAGTAAAAGAACATCATACACAGCACAGAAAAATGTTTCAAGTGGATGGAATTATTCTCCCCAAAAGAATAATCCATGAGGACCCCTGACCGCCTTTTACGAGTACCATCGTTTCTACTCCCCTTGTACCACAATTTCGTCACATAAATAAAGCTAAACATCTTTTGTGGCCTTATGGGGTTAAGCCAAGAGGATAACCGCTCGACGAAAGCCAATGAGTGGAGGTCCCTTCCTGCATTCCCCCAATGGGTCTCCGAAAATCCTGCAACCCATTTAAAGCACTTTGCTCGGCCTCATGGTCCCGTTGCTTTCCCTGGCTCATGCTCACTCTGCCATCCCTGTCCCAGAATTTCGCTGGTTTTTTTCGACAGTTTTTAAGCACTGCAAGAGATGTCAAGCTCTCTCCGACCGTTTAAGCTTTCAATTTCGCTGCTGCTGCTGCTATGTGTCGTATGTATGTGTGTGTGTGTGTGCGTGTGTGTGTGTGGAAGGGAGATGAATTATTTAAGGCGTGAGTGTCACGGTGCCGTGTGGGAGAAGAGAGTGTCGAGTGTTCCTAGCAGTTCGCTGTTGTTAGTGCTAGTGAGTCGGTATTTGTTAAGCGTCTGCCTGTTGTCTGCTGCCTGCTGGCTGCGCGGCGGCGCTCTCATGAATAAACAGGCAAACAAATTACTGTACTCGACAAACACAAACAAAGGCAAAGCTCGCGCTTACACATTTCGCACCTGTGCTCGCCAAAGTTTTTGTTTAGGCTTTCAATTCTTACACTCAGTACACATCCTATTGCAGGGGTATACGGTATTCAAGGAGATGTATGCAACAAACCAGTTGCATGTAGATGGGAAATTTCGCCTGAATAGTACCACATCTCTACTAAAAAATAAAGCATTGAAAATTTTATGTAAGCTCATTTGTTTTTATAAGTTTGATCTACAGACTATTAATAATATAGTCGTCTGTTTTTTTTTATATAATTTTCGTAGAGTTTTTTAAAATTTTGCGACTATATTAGAAGGTACAAATTTAATTTAATCAATGTAATGGGTAACGTATGGTCACATACACCTTCTGTTGTATCCATTCGTGTTATAATTTTTATTTTTTTTGCACCTTTAGCAAACAATAAAATGTAGGCTAAGATTTTAATAACAATTTTTATGGCGTTTCTGTGCTCTTGAAGTTTAGCGCCTGACGCCCGCAGAGCGCCATTCATAGCTGAAAAGGGACCACCCTGAGATGGGATGGGTGAATCTCTTTCAGGATAGAAGCAGCACATGCTCCATTGCATTTCTAAGCATGTCGAATGCTCGCATGAATGGCTGGCTGGCTTAGTAGCTCCCTCAATGGATAAAACTCACTCAAGCATTTTCGACCACCGAATCACAGTGGAAGTTGCCCTTTAAAAGAGTCTGCTCAGAGTGGGAATTTTCAGTTTCCGTCGATTCGATCCACTGTGCCGAAACCGAATATCTCAAATTCAAAGCTGTCAAAAATATTTGAAATGTTCTTGGTGCTTAACTCGCTCTCCCTCTCTTTCTCTGGTTTTTTTGGGACCCGCCCCTTCTGCCGTCTAGACATCAATCAACACCTTCGACATGATGATTGACAGCTGCGGAACGACTGCCTGAAAAATAAATCTGTCATTTGCATTTCAAGTTTCGTTTTGAAATATATATTAATATAGTACTTGAAAATCGTTCTTGTTGCTGCTATTATTATTATTATTATTATTATTATTATTATTATTATTGCTGCCAAAGTCAATTTGTCAAAACCACGCCCCTGGTACGGCCTTGTCAAAGCATTTCATTTCATTTGATTTTCTCTTTCATAGGGGAAAACGAGGACAAAAAAAGAGGGGGAATTACGTAAATGTTTTCTTTTCCAGCTTAAAAACCGATTTCCAACCTACGTAAATATTAATGTATACATCCAAACCGCATATTTAATTAATATAAAATAAATGATTGAGAAATAAATTACGACTTTGGCTTTAGGCTGCGACCGGAGTATACAAAAGGGCCAGGGCCATCGACCATCGTCGAATGCAACAGACCTGAAATGGATATCTGAAAAATATATGCTTATGGTTTGGCTTTAATGCTAACAATCCCCCATAGCTCCACAGCGTGTTGGGTTTGTCATATGGAAACAAATTTAAACACTCGACGAACTCGCTTATCTCTGCACAAAGCGAAGTCTCGCCGGTTAATAATTTTGAGCTTCTGCACTACAGCAGCCATCAATGGAATGATGGCTACAGTATCTAGTGGACGTTAAGAATGGGTAGTTACGGTGGTCTGAATACATATATAAATATATCAATGCCATGCACTTGCAGACTCACAGAATCCACAATGTTTTCTCTTTGCTGTTACACACAAAGTGTTGTCATAGAAATAAAAAGTTAAGATATAAGAGGATTTTTGGCTCTGCAAAAGGTATTCATTGGAATGTTAGGGAGTATGAAAGCCGAGGCAAGTCGATGATCTTTTGGGTTATGGGGGTGTTATGTATTGTGATGATGCACTTTAAGTCAAGTATAATTATCGTCGAGCAAATAATGTTTAACGAAATATTCCGAGAATATTTCATTGCTTAAACAAAAGTATTAAGTTTATATTTGCATTAGTCAGACACGTGAGTATGTCATGAACTCTAAAAAGTGAACTTTCGTTTAATTTGTTTACTGTTATATATTTCGCACAACTCTTAATTCAAAAGAACGATGAACACAGCTATCTACTTTTTTTATTTCGTATATATTTACAAGTACAAATTATGGAGAGTTGGTAGCTTCTCAGCTCAGTGGCTTGATAGCGTTATCGAGTCTGCCTAAAATGTTTCATGGCCTTATACTAAGTTGTCGTTTGCTGCCTTATACTGCAGCAATCAGTGGGCTCAGTTTGCGTCAACTGAAATTTCACCAATTTTTCATATCCCTAGAGGAAAACTTAAACATACATTATTAATGATGGATATCCTGCTAAGAGCTCTACATCGGGAATCACTAAAATTATGACGCCGTATAGAAGTCCCACAACATTTAACTTCCAACTACACTGCGAATTGGACTTTGGAATTTGGAATTGGAATTCCATCGGTGAGAATTGTCACATTTTTCGAAGGAATTTTAAAATATTTATTTATTAATTAGAAGGATAGATTGTGCTCCTGCGCATTTTTCAGTGTG